CTTATATAGAGGAAGTATTATGAAACCATTGTATTATTCTCACTTTACAAATATTTATTTTTATTTCATTAAAATTTTTATTAAAAATTATTAAGCCTATTCCTTCTATGCTCACCTATTAGTAATTAAGTTCACTCCATATCATATACACCCCTTTAATAAATAAGTTCACCTTATATTTTCTCACAATTAGGGTTTTATTCACTATCTCATCTCATACACTCACAAAACACTTTTTCAATATGTATTTCACTATAGAGATACATGTTAGTATTACTTCTCGATTTAATTTTATATTTGATTTCATGTGTGGTGTATGAAATTTTATTATTTTTATTGTGTTTTGGTTTCTCTCCAAGATTAATTATTTTTTATTTAGGGTTTATATGTGTGTATATATATAGGTATGTGTTCCGATTAGATTTTTTTTTTTTGGGCAAGTGTTCTGATTAGTTATTACAAGTTTGCAATAAGGGAAAATGGTATATTCATCGAGTTATTACATATGAAATCCAACATAAAATTAATACTAGCCTACATCTAAATAGAGAAATTCATATTGAAAAATTGTATTTGTGGGTGTATGAAATGAAATAGTTAATGAAACACTAATTGTGAGAAGATATAATGTGAGCTTACTTATTAATATGAGATGAATTTAGTTACTAATGAAGTTGACATAAAAGTGGTAAACTTAGTAGTTTAATAATAAATATTGAGAGATTCGGTGACAGGTACACATATTTTTTTGGCTTTAGATCCAACCTCAACATTTTTAAGGCTTAAAGTCTATAAAATTAACCTTTAACAAAAATATTCTTAATGAATAAGATTTGATGAGATGTACACACTCGGAGACCATTTTTGTTTTAGGAGCAGTCTCAATACTTTTAAGGTCAAAAGTTTATAAAATCAATAATGAACAAAAACACCCTTAATGAAAGAGGTTATTTAAAAATTTCTATCATTATCCCATTTTTATATTTATTACCACTATCATCATCATCTCAACTATGCCACTACCACCACCACTACCACCGTCAATCATCATTGCCACCATCACGCATCACCCATCACCCACCACTCATCGCCGTCCACCACCACCATCATCGCCCACCACATTCACCATCGCCATAACCCATTAACATCATCCGCTACCACCACCCCCACCGCTGCCCACTACCGTCACCAACCTAAACCAACCATCAACCCCAGCTACTACCATTGTCACTGCCACCACTCACCGCTGTTACTGTCGCCAATCACAATCACCACCAACTCATTCATCATTACCATCACCGTCATCCCCGCCAACACCATCCACCCACCACCACCACTTGTCCCCACAGCAGTACCCATTGTCACTGTAAACCCCCACATGTCTAAACTATCAACAATCGTCCAATTAGTTTCGTTTTGCATTTAACGTCTCCATTTACATCCTAAATCAAAATATAAGAATAATAAGTATATTTAGGCTCCAAATAAGTATAAAAGGCTAAATATTAAAAGAGAAAAAATATGAATTTTTGCATTTTCATCAATTAGCTAGCTTAGAAGAATTGAAGAAAAATGTTGATGGATATACTAGTTCTACATCATCTTGTTATAAATGATTTTAAGAGACGGATGGTAATTTGGTTTTGGTTAATGAATGATGCTAGACATTGATTTTTATACAAGTCATACTATCTATATTGGAGATGGGTATGAGATAGAATTTGTGACAAAAGACACTCAAACTCGAGTTAGACAAGTATAGAAGAACTAAGCAGTCCGACAGACTACTTTTCATTAATTTGATCATAACTCTTTGTTAGAAAATCCAAATTGTGCACCGTTATTTTTGTTATAATTCTAACTCGTATATCTTTCCAACCATATAGGTCACACATATTAGAAATATCTGAGTCAAATCAGTTTATTCTCCGAAGTTGATCAAAAATCTGTACTGTGGTGTTCCTTGGATAGTAAAGTGTTGTACTTTCTTCTTAGACTTTGAAGGTGTAAACCCCACATGTTTATATTAATATAGTAATGTACTTTTTTAGTGATTTTTATATATGTAATGATGTAAGAATAAACCATATATATTGAAACTGTAAGAATAAATACTAGGGAGCAATAAAATAATAATTTTAATGTTTCGTGTGTAAATTTATTTTAGTTTTGAAATAAATATTTTTAGGTTAAAATAACATCAAAAATGAATCCGGAACATCGAAAAACTTTAGGGTAGTCATATGGATCAAATTGGAGATTTTTAGTGGCAAAATCGTAATTTTAGAGAAAATCCAAATTTCAGCCTGTGAACAGTAACCGTCGGGACTGCTGTGTTTAAAACACAGATTTTCAGTCCATTTGCTTCTATTTCTTTCATTCCACTCTCACCTCAAACCTGTTAGCACCCTAGGAGAAGATAGAAGAAAGGAGGAAAGGGAGAAAGAATGTCTCTAGAGCTTGAATTTTTGGCTTGAAATTTTGATTCAAGGTAGGGGTTTCTCTCACTCTTGTTCATTGAGACTAGGGCTATATATATATAGATATGTTTTTGACTCTAAATCTTATATATGTGTTAGTAAATCTTTGATGTTTGATATTCTTGAAAATATTGTCATGTTTAAAACAAGGCTATGGTTGGATTGCATGTAACCTCTATTTCTTATTTTGAAAACCCTTGTTCTCATGAGAGGTAGATTTTTCTCTCAATATTCATTTGTTCTTGATTTCTAAAACTATAGTGCTTTGTGTTGAGTAATAAATGATGTTGTTGTGATCTCTTGTATTTTTCCTTAATTGGTTATTGGAATTGTTACATGATAAATTTGAAAATTTTTTAGATATGTTTGTAAAAATGAGAAATTGTGAAATCTGTATTTATTTGGAATTGTTGGTGAATTGAGAATATTTTGGTTTCCTCATTTGTTTGGTGGTTGTGATGAACTTGGCTTGTCATCGAGAGATGTCATAGGGTGTTAGAGGTTAGTCTATCCCAATAGGGGTGAGATGGTTTCCTAACACTTGTAGTGGGTTGTCATCTAGTAATGCGACCACTATCGTTCACTGGAGTTTGAACAAGGGATGATATATTTTTCCTAGGAATGGACTCGTCACTGCCATTGAGATGGTAGACGCCCTTTCCTAAAGTGCTTGTGATTGTGATCGTGATTGTGATTGGTGGACTAGGTATTCTACAGAGCTTCGTGCTCACCCCCTATAGTGAAACATTTTATAAATTATGGGCCAGAGAAGGAGTTCGGTGCTAACGACCCGGGCCATGGAAAAGCTTCATTAGAGGGGTACTTGGATCTCGAGTGGGACATCTAGAGATGTCGTTTATTTTTGTGCTAGACTAGGAACGATTATGTACAATCATGTAAAGTCTAGTATTTTGTTTATTCCGTTACTAAGTTCAAATATAATTCTTTTGATGTAGTAGTCCTGGTTTGAGCTTATTCTTTTGGATACTGTTGTAAATATTTTATGGATAAATGGACCCGGTGTGGTCAATGTAATATAATTGCACAGGTTGTGTTTTGGGTAGAGCTCCCCGAACAAAGGAGACTCTGCTTGAATGTTATTAAATTAAGAACCCCCGGTTATTTATGGATTTTTATTAGTTGTTTTTATGGTATGAATGATTTTAGAAGGTAATGCCTTCCAGGGTGATTTTTGGGGCGTTACAGCCACCCGCCACCATCACCCAAAACCCACCGCCACCCATCATCTCCCACCACTACAACCTACCACCACCACCGTTATCGCCACCATCGTCGCAAGGCCCCACCCCCACCCACCATCCACAATTGTTGTCAACCACCACCACCTAAGACTCACCACCACCAACCACTATCGCCCACCACCCAAAATCCACCATCATTGCCCACCATACCCCACCCATTATTGCCACCAACCACCACCACCACCCATTGCCGCCATCACCTCCCACACAAAATATTGAAAAATTATTAAACTCAAAAATATTGAAAAAAATTGAAAAATAATGAACTTTAATATAATGAGACTTTGAGTTCACAAAATTTTCACAAATAGTAAATTTAATCCAATGAAGTGAACTTTAATATAATTAAACTTTTAGTTCACTAATTTTTCATAAATAGTGGAATTTAATATAATGAAACTCCTGATTCATTGTTCAAATTTTTACAAACAGTGAACAATAAAAATATTAAAAATTTGAATTGAAAAATATATATTAAAACCAACAAACTCAAGAAATATTGAAAAAACATAAATTATGGACTCAAAAAACTGTGAAATTTAGTAGAATAAAATTCATAGTTCACAAAAATTTCACAAACGATTAACTTTAATAGAATGAAACTCTTAATTCAGTATTTGAAAAGAGTAAATTTTATCAAATTTAAATGTTTTAGACAGTAAAAAATCAAATTATTTACTAAAAAATGATTAATGGTATGAAAATTTTATATACAAAACATAGTGAACTCAAAATTAGTAAAAATAGTTAGTGTTCAAAAAAAAAATTTTAAATAGTGAACTCAAAAACAATAAAAAATTATTGACCTAAAAAACAATTAAAAATTAATGATTTAAAAAACAGTGAAAAATTATTGAATTAAAAAATAGTAAAAACTCAAAAACAGTGAAAGATTACTGAACTCAAAAACAGTGAACTCAAAATTGTGATTGGACTAATGAGACTTGAAAATTAAGCTTTGGATTCTAATCAACATACTCCATAATAAATCAACTAGGAAAATGATAAAAAGTGAACTTCACCAAAGAAAACTAGTAAAAAATTAAGAACAATAAATTTACCTCTATATATTTATTTTTTTTACCACAAAAATACATTAACCACAATACACATTTTAGACATTTATATTTTAATTATAATAAATATGTTAAATACAATAAACATTTTAATAAACTTTTTTATCTTTCTAGAATCTGCAAATCCATTGCCTATTTATAGGCAATACCTCCAATGGCATAGGCTGTAAATATTGTCAAAACTAAGGAGATTCTTGAAACCCACAAAATCCTACTTTAAGAGGGATCGTCTTCTTCCTCCATTTTCTTGAAGCTTCTGCACATTTCTTCACGGGAGACTCAGGCAAGCTCTGTCTTCTAGCGTCAGTGTAGAAGGCTTCGTCTTCATTTTCAGCACAAATCTGTTAAGATTTGGCGACTTCCACCATAGTCCACCACTAGCTCACCGACAGCCCACACTGACGCCACTCCGGCGTCGGATTCTTGACAAACAGTGTCACTTGTTGAATTCAAGCCACTTAAAGCTTCCAGCGTCAACAATATACATATAATTTGAGTGTGTGTATTCTGATGAGGAAAAACCAAAAGCAGATTTTTGTAGTTACATGTGGAGATTCAAAGGCAAGTCAAGAGTCTCGAATTTTGTGACAAATCTCTGGATTGAGTTGATAGAATTAAGATTGAGAGCCATGACAACGATCTTCGTAGCTTTGAGGTTTCTAGCTAAGAGTACAAGCATTACGCTGTGTTTGACAGAAGAGAGAATGTGCAAAAGAAAAATGTCTAAGTAGTTTGGGATACATAAAGGGTACGGTGGTCATTTAATTTTTTTTTAATTAGAATGAATTACAGGACAAAAACGAACACTTACACTTGTTTTTGTCACTTTAAAAAGTACAATCATTATATTTAATGGCTTAAAAGACCATTGAGATGGAGCTTTCCCCAATTTTCAATATTTATTATTGATGAACTCAAAATCAATTAGATCAAGTTTAATAAATCAATTGAGCTCAAATTAGTTAAAAGGCAATTCAAGTCTACTTTGTCGATCTGACTCAATCCAAGATTCAAGGAGCCCAGGACAATAGAAGCAAGTGGGAGAGAGAATATTGAGACCCACCACCATCTCCACCACCCACCACCCACCACCATCTCCACCAATATCACCATCCAGTATGCATCACCCCCCACCATCGCCCATCACCCTTACCCACTACCACCACTGTCCACCTTCACCACCACAAGGCCATGATTAACAACAAAAAATAAATTAAATATTATTTTCTAATATTTTTGTATTTTTCTTAATAACATAAAAACAAAAAAATATGTGTAAGTGCGCAACAATACGAAAAAGGAAGCAATTACCATAAATCCTAAAATGAATGTCCAACTAGACATCAAAAATCTTTTTAGAATTCTAATTTTCATTTGTTTTCGAGTTTTGCTTAGAAAGATGCACAACCTTGGATTGGTTGGTTGTTCAAAGCCTGGATTGGTTGGCTACATGCATGAGCTTCTTATTCAAGACTTTTTTATTATGCATACAATGCGTGCTATAGTAACCATGCTCCTACAAGTGAAGCTCACAAATTGTTTGGCTTGAGTTTCCTTAATAACTTATTATTTAAGTTCTTACCCTTACCAATTTTAGTCTTTGGAGGAATTATATTCACTCGAGGGGGGTGATGGGTTGGGATTACCATTCATAAACACAGTCTTAAAAGAAATGGTGGTGGTGTGTCCATTGGAATAGCCTCGACCCTTCTTGTCATCAACACTCTTCCCTATAGACAACATTTTATCTAACTTTTCAATGCTTAGGGATTGTCTTTTAAAGAGTACTTGTGATTCGTGAAGATCTTTATCATGTTTTATCAACTTAGATTCTAGACACTTCTTTGACTCGATGAGCCCATGACACTCTCAAAGAAACTCACTTTGTCTTGAAAATACTTTTTCTCTTCTTTAACCTTACAAACATGAGCATTAGACTTCACTAAGTTCACATGGAGTGTTTTTCGGTCTTCCTCACTTGTGTTGACTCTACCCCTCAAGACTAGCAATCTTCTTTGTTGTTTGAGCAATTGCTCATGCAATTGACCATATGCATCTTGTTTATCCTCAAAACTCTCAATGCCTTCATTATATATGGGGACTTCTTCTTCCAAGTCTTCTACCACTGTGGTATGACTTGTTTCAACTTTCTCAACTTTACTTCTTGAAATTTCTTGAGGGGGAGAGAAATGTGAACCAACAAAGGACATGAAATTCTCTCCATCTTCTTGAGAAGAGGAGTCCTCACTTGATGTGGAAGTGTTTTCAATATAGATCCACTTGGCCTTCATGGCTCTAATCTTTTCTTTTGGCAAAACCTTATTCTTTCTACTAGGGGCACTCTAAAGCCATGTGCCCAAAATCTTGGCACTCAAAGCATTGGAGGCCTTGCCCTTTCTTCTCAACCTTTGTCGAGGAATTCATCCCCATTTCCCTTTTCCCTCCTTAGGAGCTTTAGGTCTACTTAACTTCCCTTTCGACCTAGAGGACTCACTATCCTTAAAATACCTTTTGAATTTTCATCCAAGATAGTTTATGTCCTCCTCTCTAAGTGGGGTGACGTAGATTTGTCTCCTTCTTCTCGTCTAGAACTTAAAGCTACACCTTTCACCTTCTGGGGTTGTAGGAGATTCATCTCATAAGTCAAAATAAACGCAACTAGGTCTTCAATTGACACCAATGCATGTTGACACTCATTTCCAAGTAGGTCACTTTAGTATGAAACCTCTCAGGTAGAGATTTCAATATTTTCTATTTGATGGCAACATCATCAATCATGGTACCTAATGCAAAGGAAGAATTGACAATATTGCATAATATGGCATAAAATTTGCTAAATGTTTCTTCCTTTTGCATCCTCAACACTTTGAAGTATGAGATGTACCGTTGCAGATGAGACATCTTAACCAAGGAAGTCTCCTCGTTGGATACCTCAAGAATGTCCCATGCCTCCTTGGAGGTTTCGCAATTTACTATCCTTTAGAACTTATTTGGTGTCACAACATTGAATATTACATTCAAGTCTGTTGAGTTCCACTTGCTTAGTCACAATCATCTTTAGTCCATGTCTTTGGGGATTTTGATTCATCAACCGCTTCCACACCTTTAGCCAAAGTAATGGCAGTAGGAAGGGTCTATCTCTCTTGTACATACAACCAAACTTTCTCATCAATTGATTTTACAAACAGTCTCTTTCGAGCTTTCTAATATGCATAATTAGTGCCATCAAAGAGAGGTGGTCATGAAATTGAACCTCCTTCTTTTTGATAATCCATTCTAGACTAAATTGTAATAACAATAGATCTCAAATGCACAAAACTAGGTACATAAGCAAAAACAAGATCTGCCTACAATGTGTCTAATGCAATCCTTTGGGTAACCACACTTTAATATCAATTTTTGGGAGAGCGATACTGTGGATCTTCCCTCACGATTAAACACGTGGGATGCTAAATGTTACCTAGAGTGGGGATGAACATGTTAATTAAAAATTCCACTTGGACAACCACTAATTTTAACCTATATCTATCACAATTATCCCCTCGCAAATTAATTTAGCAATTATTTTTGAGAACCCCTTAACAAGAACAACCCATCCATACCATGTGAATTGGTTTGTATATGCATGTCAATTTGTTCAATTCACACTCAGTCTAACAACGACGCATATTCCATCCAAGACAACAACCCACTAAACCATTATGAATGTAATGATAGATCAAACAATCATTACATCAAATATATAGTGCACAAGTGTGCTTCAAATGGTAAGTATGTATGAAAATAAACAATTTGAGCACAAAAAATTTGTTGACATGAAAACCTTTCTTGGAAAAAATCACTAGGAACCACTTAGGGTTCACTAATGCCTAATATGTTATATCAAAGTCAATTTATAAGTACTCGAGTCTTGTGTCTCAATCAATACCATGGTTAGACACTCATTTCCTTTAATAGATCTCTCTGCCAAAACTCCTTCTTCGATGTTATGGATAGCTTCACTTGAATTCCCTAGTTGCAAGGTTCGTTTAGGCCTCGAGAAATCTTCTCCCCCAATATTCGTGGCATGAACACTCAACGAGTGGGTTTGGTAGCACTAAGAAAGTTATTATTCTCTAATCTGTAAGTTTGGATAGGAATTATAAGATAGATTAACTTTTGGATTTAGGGATCTATTGTTGCTCAATGATCTCTCAAGGTTTAGAGGCAAGAAATAAGCTCACATGAAATCTAGCCTAACTTGGGAAAGCTCCTTGTAATTTAAAGGCTTAGAATAGGGTTTGTCTTGGGGACAAAAAATAAATAAATTCATGAATGATCACTCAAGCAGTGGAAGACTGGAGGGAAGGCGGTGGCTACTGGAATGAAAAAATGACTCAAACTATAACAGTAGAGTAGGGACTACTTGAGCAACCTCAAGACTGCTCGACCCGTCTTAAGACCGCTTGAACTGCATTAGAGTGACCCAAAGGGTAATCACCATTGCGTACTCATTCAAAATTTTTTGATTTTATCTCTAAGTGTCCAAATACTGCTCTAGTGAAGGCTGGCAAACATAGGGCGGTACCTACTAGTTTTTTAAGCCTAAAACAAAGCAAAAAAGAAAACTTATCATCTTGAGCACTAAAAAGTGTTGCTCAAGTAGGGTCTAATTATGGCTTAATCAATTTTATAAAAACATACCAATTTTATATTAACTCTAATCCTCCTTAGACAAATAAATTAAACCAAGAGTTTTTAGGTCTCTAAAGCCATTACCTTTATCCTAAGTAAGAAGGTGCATATGGAGGGTCACTTGATATTACTTCTTTTGGATTTTCAACTTTATAGCATTATGATCATGGACGGAGTTGAGATTTACAAAAAGACTTCATGAATTAGCCAATTACAAACATGATCCTTACATGTCATATCTCTGTATCCGTATTGTATCTGATTCAATACCCATGTCCATATTCATACTTCCTAGATGTCGGCCTCAAAGGCTAATAGATCATAACTACTTAAATTTGTTATGTCACATATTATTGTTTTAATTTTTTGCTTTGAAATATCATATATTGTTGCCTTATGAATTTAAAACATTTGGTAAAAATAGACTTGAACCACGGATGCCTAATTTATGATGGAACAATTTTATTGTTGCATCAATGCCCATCTTCATAGCATGGAAACTTTTGGTGCAAAATTTATCCCAACGTCCACATAGGCTAGGCTAGAATTTGTTCACCTTTGTGTCATCTTCCTAGTTGTTTTAGTTGGCTCTTTAAGGCTCCAAACGAGGTTTTTGAGGCTCTAAATGAGTGACCCTTGGCATAGAGTTCCTAATGGTGCAATTAATTTTTACCTAATTAACATCCAATGCACAAGTCTCCTACAGCTAAGGAGTTTGGGAATGATCAGGTGTTCACAATGTTGCTCCTATATATAACAAGACTATTTCAATGTGTTTGTCTTAAGAAGACATAGATATATTAGCAAAATTATTGTGGTGCACTAGGAAAAATTTGTGCAATTACAATTGGTTTACATCTACAAAATGATTTATCAAGTATCCATAGCTCTGCTCCAAAGCTTGAGGGTTATATTAACCTAATCTTGTTAACCATTGATAGAGAAATGACTAACTATTGTTGAACTTGACAAGAGATAAGAGAGTGCATTGGCTTTCTAATAGCACCTTTTTCTTGACAAGCACCTTGAGATGCTTTGGCTTGTGGCAAAGAAATACAAAAATAATATTTTTTTTATAATGATACTTGAATGCACTAAACCATTTTATCTTTGTCCATCCTCAAGTTTTACTCCAAAAAGAGTAGAATATAAAAATATTTAAATGTTACTCACATATCAATGCTTAATAATTTAGTATGATGATCTTGTAATATTTGAAAATTAGTAAGTGATGCGGGAAAAAATTAATTGTATCCTCAAGAAAGCTCTAAAGACGCTCCAACACCTAAAAAGTTACAGTTCGAGGGTTTACCTAGCTCTAGGAGCACAAGGAAAACTTGGTGCAATGCCAATTCTAGTAATCAAATCTCCCTCCACCTAGCTAGCATATGAGAGAAATCCTAAAGATAAGGTTATCCACTATTTGAAAATTAAAGATCTTCCTTAGTTAGGTCTGTAGTTCACGCCTAAAGGGAGAGGAGCCATTAGAGGAGTCTCAACACCTTAATCCCCTTATCAGATACTCAAAAGACTCCCAAACAAGGAGGAGTCTCACCCGGCTATTGTAAAGATAAGAAGAATAGAATCCCATCATGGGAGTACTTTAAACTGAATAAAAGGAGTCCTAAAGCAATAAGGAACTCTAGACTCCTCAAGTAGTAGAAGTTTGAACTTCTCAGAACAACGAGGGAGACTAGAAACTAATCCCCTTCTAATCATCAACTTTTTTCAGGTCTTTCAAGTTGCAGAAATCTCATTTGGAGCCCTAGAGAGCTAAGTCCATCCATTAGAAAGCTAATCAAATTAGCGAAAAAGATGACAATGAGCAAGACAATCGCTTATCCAACGTCCATAAAGGTTGGGAAAATTTTGCACCAACAGTTTGGTGTCATCGGTAAAAACCGATTGATAATTTTTTGCAATTCTTATAACATCCTGAAGACGACTATAGATGCGGACCACCTGGTCAATGGACATCACCAAAAATGATCCTCCTAGAGAACATATTTCCAAAGGAAGTTTGAAGAAAAGAACCACAACTAAGAGCCTCCTCGAGCCAACAAGAGACAAGAAACACAACTGGTGCTCAATTTGGAAAAAAAACTATGATATAATGAAACAAACAATTCAAGGTTTGGCGCAACAAACTTAAAAAATCCTTCAAATGCTTACTGGCCAACATCCACAACATGTGTCTCACTTAGAGGAGACTAAGTGTAACCCAGAGTGGGATATGAAGGACAAGCACAGTTAAAATGACATTTTCCACTAGCAAAAGTAGAATGCATTTTTGCACCAGAAGTTCAAGGAAGTCAACGATCGAATTGGGGATGTTGTTAATATGGTCAAGGTCAGAGCTCTAAAACTATGGAAACTCCGGTCTGGCACTTGGAATCCCCATTCTCGCATAATGTTACACACTATTTACTATCCCCAAAGTTTAAGTTGTCATTGATAGATAATTTCGATGGAAAGAAGGATCCTTTGTATCACTTGGAAACTTACAAATATCTTATGTTACTCTATAATGTTCCTG